ATACCAGTATTAATATGCCATATTTTTAGGCTAAGACTCGGTGTTACAAGAAATTGTTTTATTTAATCTGAAGATTCTTTACAATTACTTTTATACAATTAAAATACGACTTTGTTTTGATATGACACGTGAAAAAAGTGTGTTCGTTTGTATTCGAATTATACAATCACCGTGCAAAATAACTGCAACCTGAATCTTTGCATTTTGTTAAGTTTGTTTTGTGTAGTCGAGAAGGTTTTGCTCAGATTTTAACAAATTGTCAGTTTCCTGATGACTTGTGATAAGCTGTTTGCTGTTAGGCTATTTAATTAAATGTCTAAGTAAGTAGTTGTGACACCATCATCGGCTACTTTGCGCTTGATGTAGAGATACGACAAAGCACCTTTGACCTGTGAGTACGTCACCATCTCATTCCCATCCATCCGGAAACCCACGTTGGTGCCAGTACCCACTTTCTGTGAGCTGAGTACCTTGTAGTACATCTCTTTTGTCAAATCGTTCTGTCTCTTGTTTAACCCCTTACTGCTGGTTTTATCCGTTGGCCCGAAGCATTTATAAGTCTTACTGCATAGTGCAGTAATACCGTCCCCTTCCCATTCCACCTTGAAAAGGCCAGGGGTTCTTTTGTCATACATTTCGTCATTCTTTCGAGGGAACCAGTAATGTTTCTCTGTCTCGTACGCTTCCTCCATATCGGGTCTGATGACAGACTCCAGACTCTCCCCCGAGATGGCTATGTACATGGAGTCGGTGTCCATCTGACAGAGCTGGAAGTCGGACTGATCGATGAACCTGACCAGAAAATCGTAGTAGAACTGCAACATCTTCAGCTTAGCGTACTGGTAGACAAAGTATCCCACCTGCGTAGGCAGGTCCACTTTGACGGATCTTTTGCTCAACTCCACTTCGTAGACGTCCCCACCTAAGTTGTTGGTGACACGGAAGCGCTGGTCGTTGATGAGGCTGGACGCCTTAGACTCAGTTGTACAAACTTTGACGTCTTTGAAGTTCTCTTTGTTGGTAATCGTTTTTCCGTAAGCCGAGTTCCCAATCAGCTTCATGGTGTCTGCCTTGATGGTCTTGCTCGGGTCGCTATCTCCCTCTCGCCTGGCGTTACTCACTTCATCCCCGAATGTCTTGAAGCACCGCCTGGGCCTGTATTGCACCACTTGGTAGATCTTCGTGACTTCCAGCCCCTTTTCTAGATACCACTTCAGCAGGGGCGTGGCCAACAACATCTTTTTGCCAGACATGCTTCCAATAAGGCTAGTTTGTGGCTTATTCAGTAAGTCCTTCCGTGTTGCATAATTACGCATGTGCTCGCCGATGTCGTCTTTCGAGATTTCAGCCCTCTTGAAGATGGGTGGCATCTCGGCAAAGCTGGATTTCTGATTATCAGGGACATGGATATCACACTCCACCATGCCGAATATATTATCCTCTCTAATTGCCTGTAGGATTTTATCTTGTGATAGCGTCTTCTTCTCTTGAAGAGGCAGCTGGCGATTCCTCAGGAACTGTTTCAATTTTGGATTGCATTTTTTCTTCTCCGCTGTCCACTCGCAACTCCAAATCTCTTTCATGGAGTACCCTAAACTCTTGATGTATCTGGATCTTTCTTCTGTTTCTGCTTGCAATTCAGACATTGGCTTATTATATGCCTCATTGAAATCTTCCCGATTGAGAGGGCACTCGTGACCGTGTGTATAGCATCCGTTAAACTCATACACTGTGTTGCTGTCCTTGCAGAAACCATCAACCCTCAGCTGACCGACTCGTTTCTGTTGACCATTACCACGATGCTGTATCTTTATATCGTTTTTGTGAGACTCCCATTCTAACCATTCCACTTCCCCGCCATAAAAGAAGGGGGTCGGTACCGGCTTAAATCTCTCCTCAGCTCTCCTCCTGATAAACGGGCCAACGGGCATCTCTTGCATTAGACACCATAGGTACAGCGCGTTTGCATCATACCCGATAACCTTCTGACAATATTTATCCCCTCGAATTTTTGTCTCGCCCTTTTTGTGATAGCGGTGGAAAACAATGGATGGACCTCCAACCAAGTTCTTCTTCATCATAAAGTAGAGATCTTTGTTCTGTTCACCCACCAGTGAAAAGAAGTCATGGTCACCCTGCACTGTCTGGAACAAATACTTAAGGGTGAGACCCGAAACGGAGATGCCATCCTTGAACAGGTCGATTTTCTTTTCCTTGTAGAACTCTGCCATTTTTGCTATTGCCTCCAAAAATGGAACGACGTCTTTGTTGTTGTACCAACGTAGGAAGTCTCGCATGGATTTCATGCCATTTTCTCGCCATACTGACTTGCAATAATCGTAATCTTCAGGGAGGAGATCGGTTTTCTTCAGGTTGTCGTAGAATTCTTCTCTGGGTGGCAGACTTTCACTGTCGAGCTTCTTCAGGGAATTCATCCACTGGAAAGGAAAAAAACCCTTCTTTTCCTGGGAATCATACGCCTTCAAGAAGTCAGAGTAGCTATATCCTGCAGCAAGGTAGTTGGTGATATCCAAAAACTTCAGACTTCTTGTCTTGATGGCTTTGTATGAGCTGCTCTTTGACTTGATCAAGTATTCAATCTGCTCTACTTCCTGCAAGGAGGAATACAGGTATCTTTTGACTAGATTGATGTCGTACTTTGAGGAGTTGAAACCTACAACCGGCAACTCCATCAGGTACGCGTCCAGATCCTGCTTTAGTTTGGTCAATGGGTGTTTCTTTATTGACTCGTCGTCAAGTTTCCCTTCGTGCTCTGTCTTGATGGAGGCGGCAATAGTTTCGTCTATTTGCGAAAAGATATCTTCGAAGTTCTTTCGGAAAATGCTGAAGGATTTCGTACTGATCTCTCTCAAGTACTTTACCATATCATTGACAAGTGTCTGGGTGTCACCTGATGTTATGCAACACTTTGGTTCCTCATACTCGGGCACATTACTACAAACACTGAAACTCAGGGGTATGTGTGTGTTTTCTAGCTGCATCTTACCGGATTTAGATCGTCTGGTACCCTCTTGTATGGACTGGAAATAACTTTCAAAGTCAAATGTAGCCCAGTACGGAAAGTATCGAAGCTCCTGACTCACTACAACACCTTCATTTTCAAGTTTTTCGAATATGGTTTGCTTCGTTGTGTAAACACCACTAGGGAACTTGTATTGAGGTGAATTATTGCAAGCCGTGCTTCGTTCGTGCCTTTGGAGGTTGCCTCTCTTCCTGAACACTCTCTTACACTTTGGACAGCAATGAGCCTTGCTATACTGGGAAAAATCTTTTATGTACGAAAAGTGATTCTCAAATAGATTGAGATACATTGTCTTTCCATATACCCCTTGTGATCGATAGATCAGTTCTGCGAATGTAGCAGGTCCTTGTTGATTTTCGTCATTTGGATTCCCACCTCCCCTCGTCTTTCGGCTTCTACCGCGATTTCCAGGGTTAACTTCGTCTCCGCGTGCCCCATGTTCTTCGTCACTGCTATCTTCGTCTTCAGAATCGGATACTTCGTCCTCGTCGCGATCGCTCATTTTGACAAGGCGGTACACCATGATGTTAGTGCCAAATTCATTTTCCAGCTGAGGTAAATCTTCTAGGGTGACACCATCAAAGCTGCTGTAATTTTCTTCGGTTCCTGCGTACTGCCTGTACAGCTCTTTGGCCTTCCTTTCTAAACCTTTGGCTTTATGGGACTTGTGTCGAGCTAAGCATCGGAAGAAGCATTGATTATCTGAATAGACTTTGCCTGTTTGCCTCCTTTTGTGTAGACCAATGATGGCGGGATTATTTTTGATGTACGGCGGCAATTCTTCAAAGTTGGCACCTCCGATTGGGAAGTTAGGCATCTTGTTGACGTAAAGTGCCATGTTGGTTACCGCCGCGACGGCCCACTTTGTATCTGGACGCTGTTTTACCCCGAAGCTTAGAACGTCGCCGTCGCGTACTTTTTCAATAAACGTTTCCATGTCGGTCCTAGAAAAAATGACAAATGGGTCGGGGAAGAACCGCTCGTTATTTTGGCTAGGATAGAAATACCGTAGCTCTCCTGTCTCGTTGTGACGGAGAATCAGGCCGTAAGAAATATTTATCTTGCAACGGCATTTTAGTGAGTTGAAGACTGCCCGCAAGTGACTGCTGATACGCTCCGGTGAGACTCCGCCCAGGAGACAGATATTGTATACGTCTTGGATGCGCCTGCCTACTTCTCTTCTAGTGCGGATCTCCGACCAATGCTGAGCAACTTCCTCTTTTATGTCTGGATCAATCTGATGGCTTGCGTCCTGGTGGTACTCAATGGGGTCATCTTCAATAAGTGTGTCTTCTCCATCCCCTCCTTGACTCGTATTTCTCTCCTCTCCCGCATCCTCTGCTTCATTCAGTGATTCTTTCTTCAAGGCATGGCGTTGATTGTCTTCGGATGACCGTGCCTTCTTTTTCTTTGCAGTTTCGTCATTATTCTTGTATAGCGTCATAGCGTGAGACCTTTTCGAAGTTGACGGACGTGGCTCGTTCTGGTTGTGCTGGGTCCGCATGTGCCGTTTCAGGTGGTCCTCCTGCGTAAAAGACATCCCGCAGATTTCGCAAGTGACTTTGATATTTTCATGAGCAGATTGTGTGTGTCTCTGTAAGGATTGCCGAGTGGTATATGATTTATTACACGCATTACAACGATATGTCTTAGTGGTGGTTGTCTTTTTGCTGTTTGATTTCTGTAGGGATGCGATGGTATCTTCACGGCGATCACTTGACGCTCCAGCTTCCACGTCAGAGTTCCCTTCGGCTTTGTCAGGACTTCTTTGGGATGATTCGTTGCCTACCCCATCAGCAATAACCTGTAATAAGATTGAAGGTAATCTGTGATGTGTTAGGGGTGTTGTGTTACATTTTTCGAATGCAAACAAACTTGCAGTAGGATGAGGGAATGCATGATGTTTGTAATGTCTTCCATTTTGAAAATTTTGCGGATTTTAAATGTTTACCTCCACACCTCGTTGGCTGTTCTGACGTGATGAGTGCGCGGCATTCTCATCTGTCTCCATAGCCACTGGCTCCGTCTAGTGTAAAGAATATAAACAAAATCATTCCAATTCTGGACCCTGGCGTCTTGATTTAAAGCTTGTGCGATTATAAATCTAATTCAAACCGAAACAGAAATACTGATCTATGATTATTATAAGGGCGAGATTTTTTCTCAACCTTTGCTCAGACTAGCAGATTTGCGTAATGACCATCTTGCCAAGATGACAACTGACTGTAAAGTTGTATCTCAACATACACGTAAAGTAGCATGACATGTCCATGAGTCAAGCATTGCTACAGATATTTCAACCTCCACTTTTCTATTTCTACGCTCTTTGAGTCTTTAATCTCATGTGGTAATTCGTTAATCTCATGTGGTAATTCGTTAATCCCATGTGGTAATTAGTTAATCCCATGAGGTAATTCGTTATGTTCGCAAGGTCCCTAATGGAAACCAGCCTCTGGATAAAAGGTCGTTATAATGTCAATGGCCGCAATGCGCGTAGTCTGGTTCAGACCAAATGATGCTGACTTTTTCTGATAAAATTACCGACTTGAAGAAAACATTTTCAATTGTGTACACAACATATGGGAGTAAATTGAATCTCTAGCGAATTCTATGCGAGCACTCTGATTGGGTCAGATTCCAGAGTGTATACTTCGAGGGTTTGTACTTTGTATAGAGTAACATTACAAAATTCATTATATGGCATACAAGACTCAAATAAATCAAGTATATCACAATGATACATTTTATTTCTATACAGAATTGACCTAGCTGAGTGTATTGGTCGTTAAAACATCGCCAGATCTGCAAACATGTCCCTGACGTATTGAGAAGAGCTCCCCGTGTAACGGAATGAATGAGTCCTCATTTGCATAGCGATGCGTGATTGGATCTCACCGCTAAAATGCACTGCAATATGTATTGCACTGCATATGTATTGCACTGGGGTCAAAATGGGTTTGGATGTGCTGGGGTGAGAATGGAGAATTGAGCAGCTCCATCTCCACTGAAGTACTCCATTGCTTAGCATGGCGTCTCAACATCAGCCTCTCATAATCAAATCCTCCTGTCTGGCTTCTCTTGCCAACCCTGTTCCTACAAAACGACAGAGGATGTCAGAGAGTGGCGCTATAACCAGGTTGCTCCGGATAGGTGGAGCTCGTCGGTCTGGGTTGCCAATCCACCTAGGACAAGGACCACTCTGATCACAAACCCGGGTAAGTCGGCAAAATAACCCCAGCTGTGAGTAAAATATTACAAAGACTAGAACCGATGGACGGCGCGGAGGATATACCACAAGATTGGTTCAACGGGCCTGAAGGCAGGCCTAGCAGAGCGTTGTGGAGCACGATTTGGGCACGGTCTAACACTAAGACCACGTTGCCATCCACTGCATCCCTCCGTATCCCCAACTGTCTTGACTATGTCTTGCTATTGGAGCAGGTAGGCCAGGGACGAGAGAGTGAGGCTGACGTTGCGCAACTCTTCCTCACTATAATCAAAGTCAAGCACAAGTCTTGGCTTCGATGAATTCCGCGCATCTTCAAGTCCTGTGGCGATGGGCGAGCGGCGCAGCAGCAGGTGAGGATACACTGGAAGCTGTAACTGCGAACTTGCACACAGGCGGCTCAGGCCATACGGTCGCTCTCCTCTGAACCGAAGCAGCAGTGGAGTTCAGCAGCCCCCTGAGCGACTGAGCAGCCCTCTTTAGGATCGCTCTGCTCACCTCCAAGCCTGCGGAAGGGGCTAGAAAAGGTGCACTAAAAATTGCCTCCCTCCCTATCCCCAACAATCCATCAACCCTGGCCAACATACCGCGGTTGGCAGGGATCCCTGAAAGTGGTCGAAACATGAGATATAACAGAAAATGGGTACTGACACTTTCCCTTGGCGCATGGAACGTCAGAACTTTGCTCGACAACACCATAGCTGACAGGCCAGAGAGGAGAACTGCACCAGTTGCAAAGGAACTAGCACGCTACAACGTGGACATAGCCGCAATGAGCGAAATACGTCAAGTTAACAAGGGCCAACTTACTGAGATCGGATGTGGATACACCTTCTTCTGGAGTGGAAGCAGCAAGGATGAACGTCATGTTGCTGGTGTAGGCTTCGCCATCAAGTCCCAACTCGTGCGTCAGCTCTCCAAGCTGCATGGAGGCTTTAATTATCGCCTCATGACCCTCCAGCTCCCACTAGGTAGCAAGAGGAATGCCACACTAATCAGCGCCTACGCCCCAACCATGACCAACCCAAATGACGTAAAGGACAAGTTCTATAGAGAGCTTTATTCACTCATCACAGGAGTTCTAAAGTCGGAAAAACTTGTCATTCCTTGGGACTTCAACGCCAGAGTAGGGACAGATCACGACACCCAGGAAGGCGTTCTTGGTAGGCACGGCGTTGGCAATGGTAACAGCAACGGGCTCCTTCTTCTCCTGAAAACGTTCGCCGCACACGACCTGATCATCACCAACACAATGTTCCGTCTACCTGCTCGTAATAAGACGTCATAGATGCACCCCCGCTCCAGGCACTGGCATCTTATTGACTATGTCATCACAAGAAAAAGGGACAGGCAAGACGTGAAAGTGATCAAGTCTATGTGTGGCGCAGACTACTGGACTGACAACCGGACTATTGTGACCAAGTTTAAGCTTCGTGTTCTGCCTAAGCGCAGGCCCCAGGGACAACCTGAAAGATGCTTAACATCTCCAAGCTGAAGAGCAGTACAACTGCAGAAAAGTTCTCCAGCGCCCTGGACAGCATTCTGCAAGACTCCCCCGGTGACCACTCTGGCATTGAGGAGCAGTGGGTAACTTTCAGAGATGCAGTCCACTCAGTTGCCCTTGATCGAGTACCTCGGACCAGCTATTCGTAAGCACCAGGACTGGTTCGACGAGAACAACGACGAAACACAGGCATTGCTAACTCAAAAGCACCGCCTCCTCTGCAAGTACCAAAACGACCCACTGTCGGCCTCAAGCAGCATTTCTCAACATTCGCAGCACAGTGCAGAAAAGGCTACGTGAGATGCAGGAAACCTGGCTCGGCAACAAAGCTGACGAAATTCAGGGCTATGCAGACAAGCACGACTCCAAACGGCGTTACGACGCCCTCAAGGCTGTCTATGGTCCACCATCTTCTGGATCCTCACCCATCCTCAGTGCAGATAGGTCTCAGCTCCTGACAGGAAAGAAGCTCATCCCGGAGAGGTGGGCCGGGCACTTCGACAGCGTCCTCAACCGTCCATCCTCCATCAGCGACGAGGCCATAGCCCGCTTGCCCCAGGTGGAGACTAACCACAATCTGGACGCTCCCCCGACTGAGGAAGAATTCAGGAAAGCTGTCAAGCAGATGTCTTATGGCAAGGCACCAGGACCAGACACCATTCCCGCGGAGCTGTATAATGCAGGTGGCCTAGTCATGATCCAGCAGCTCAACATTTCCAGTCCATTTGGAGCGAAGGCCTGTTTCCCCAACAGCTTAAGGGCGCCTCTATTGTTCACATCTACAAGCGGAAAGGCAATCAACAGTCCTGTGACACCCACAGGGGTATCTCACTCCTGTCTACTGCTGAAAAGATTCTAGCTCGCGTTCTCCTCAACCGCCTTTTTGAACATCTGGAGCGTGACCTCCCAGAAAGTCAATGCGGATGCTGCACTAGGCGAGGAACTGCAGACATGATCTTCGCAGCCCGCCAGCTTCAGGAAAAGTGCCAGGAGCAACACTGCAATCTCTTTGTGACCTTCACCGACCCGACCAAGGCCTTCGATACGTTAAGCAGGGATGGCCTCTGGAAGATCATAGAGAAGTTTGGTTGCCCTAGAATGTTTACCACGATCAGACGCCAGTTCCATGATATCATGATGGTCAAGGTCCTTGACAATGGAGACGAGTCTGAGGCTTTCCCTGTGACTACTGGCATCGAGCAGGGATGTGTGCTTGTCCCCACACTCTTCAGGATGGTTCTCTTTACCATGCATGCTGATGGATGCCTTCAACACCTGCCAAGATGGAATCCAGATCAGATATCTAATTGATGGATGTCTGTTCAACCTCAGAAGACTGCAGGCAGTGACAAAGGTGAAAGAAAGGGACCTCCTTTTCGCCGATAACTGTGGCATGAATGCCAGTTCAGAGCAAGAGATGCAGCATGAGGGCAACTACTTCTCCTTAGCATAAGTGAACAACTTCGGTCTTACCATTAGCACCAAGAAGACTGAAGTCATGCATCAGCCTGCACCTGGCAAGCCACAACAAGAATCACATGTCACGGTAAAAGGCAAAATCTGAAGGCTGTTGACAATTTCACCTACCTAGCAGCACTCTCTCACGCGGAGCCAGTGTCGACAGTGAGGTTGGCAACAGAATTGCAAAAGCAAACGTCGCCTTCAGCATACTTCGCCAGAACGTCTGGGAGCGCAGAGGCCTCAGCATGTCCACTAAGATGAAGGTATACCGTACGGTGGTCCTAACCACCCTACTCTATGCCAATGAGACAAGGACCGTACCCACGCCAGACATGCCAAGCAGCTCAACCACTTCCACCGGAGTTGCCTCCGCCGTTTCCTACACATCTGCTGGCGGGACAAGATCCCTGACACTGAAGTCCAACGGCGCACTGGCATGCCCAGCATTCACACCCTGTTGCAGAAGGCACAGGCTAGATGGGCTGGACACATTGCCCGCATGGATGAAAGTCGCCTGCAAAAAAAACTGCTGTACAGCGAACACTGTCACGGCTAGCGTATGGTTGGAGGGCAGAAAAAAGGTTCAAAGACTCCCTCAAGTCAAGCCTCAAAGCATTGAATATCAACGTATGGAACGGGGAAGCCCTTGCCCTCAACCGTCCAACCTGGCGCAGCATGTTTACCAAGGGAGCGCTTGCAGCTGAAACCAACAGCAGTGCAGCAGCAGAGCAGAAGCGGGTCATGTGGAAGGCTAGAGCGTCAGCCCCAACCAACACACCAGCAGCCCATCCGTGTCCCACGTGTGGGAGGACTTTCCGGGCCCGGATTGGCCTCATTAGCCACCTCCGGACCCACCGTTTTCTTCCTATAGACCACAAAGCCATGGTCATCTTCGACTACGTAGGACGAGTAGTATGTATTGCACTGTTTGCATATATGAATAACGGTGCAAGAGTGTAATCGTCAAGTCGTTAGATGTGTCGCAACCCGGCCGATTACGTACTAGTTTTATGCCAGCCGCGCCGATCAAGTTCGACTGAAGTTCACGGACTAAATACGACTTTATATACGACTTGTCATCAAGTCTACGTGGCCGCGGAGAAAATCCAATAGGAAAACGGCTTAAATGGAACGACAGTACCATGGGGAGAACATGTTGTCAATATGGCGGCGCCGTGAATGTCAATTCTTTGAGTTTTATCGATCGGTTTGCACTTTTATAGTCCTTGAAAATAAATTATGAGTGACAGTGACATTATGACGGTTACATGCGAAAATACACGTTTTGACGAAGTAGGGAAACGGAAAAGCTCAGCCCTGCAGCAGGAATAAATTGTGAACGACTGGATCGTTAGCCTTTGTTGTTTAATTTTCGCCGACGGTGGCCGTGGTAGCAAACAGTCGGTCCCACCAAACGTTGCAAACGTCGGCAAACGTTAGCAGTGTTCGTTTTTTTGAAATGGAGCGCGCGCATCCCAGGTCTTTTTACTGTAAATCATCAATTCCTATCCAAATCCAATCATCAGCAACTCCTATCCAAATCCAATCATCATCAACTCCTATCCAAATCTAATCATCAGCAACTCCTATCCAAATCCAATCATCAGCAAATCCTATCCAAATCCAATCATCAGCAACTCCTATCCAAATCCAATCATCAGCAACTCCTATCCAAATCCAATCATCATCAACTCCTATCCAAATCCAATCATCGTCAACTCCTATCCAAATCTTATCATCAGCAACTCCTATCCAAATCCAATCATCAGCAACTCCTATCCAAATCCAATCATCAGCAACTCCTATCCAAATCTAATCATCAGCAACTCCTATCCAAATCCAATCTTCAGCAACTCCTACCTTATCATCTTGGCTTTGGGAGAGCTGATGATATTCATCTGGTCCCTCATTCCCGCTCAGTCGTGCGTCCGGCGTATCGTTACATCCTGGGTCCATCTGAAACACGTACAAATTGTACAACAATGACATGAAACCCAGTTGACCACTGGGAGAAGAACGACTCCCCTCCAACTTGCACTCACCCCCACGCATGTTCGCTTTCCATTTACTCAACGGTCATTTATGATTTTTCAAAATGCGCATGCGCAGACGGTTTCCTAGCAGACGACACTGCTTTTTTACATTGCAGACAACGCCAAACCGATGACGACAAAAACATTCAAGTAAAAAATAGACCCCAATGCAATGCTATATTTTGTCAAAAATGATAATTTTTAATATGAGATTGTGTTCAATACCTAGCCTTATTAATTTGCTAAAGATTTAATTACTATCAAGCTTTTTTTTTAAGTGGTTTTAATTTCATTTATAGGTTGCGAAATATTCGAAATCATATTTGTTTTGGTGAATCCTTTAATGCCATGTTTTTCCTAAATATCATTTTCCCAGCAACAAGAGCCCCATGTTGAAATAGAAGGTAATCAAGGCACCCTTTGACGGTATTTGTACTCCTGCAATTAAAGCTAGTCGAAAACTGTTATTAAAATAGGCTGGTTCCTGGACCCTCCATTACAGGTAGGAACTATCTGCAGCCATGGAAACTGGTCTTGCTAGATAACGTGGTTTCAGGTCGCACAGTAGAATTATCTTTGCGGACGTCACATTACTGACGGACATGCAACTGTGCATTCACACTAAAAAAAAAAAGAGGAAATTGAAACAAATCAGAAGCCTTTGTACAGTGTTTTTCTATTTTGAATGACAGAAATAGAGAAAAACATTGAGGAAATCAGCAGATCTGAAGAAAAGTTGAATGTCTGATTTATGTATGTGCAGTGCAGTGTGATGATGGACATTAATGCTCCATTCAAAACTGCAATTGCGGAGCGAGAGCGAAAACAGATTTAAACTAAACTTTCACAAAATCTGCTGAACTTGCCCGAATTAAACCCGGATTGCAGGCTTATGTAGTTGTAGTAGGGTTATATGCACACGTTTTCAACGGGCTTACCACCCCCCCCCCAATAATTTGAAAAGAGTGCCCTTTTTTTACGAAGTGCCCTTTTTTCTGAACAAGTGCCCTTTTCAAAAAAGAAGTGGTGCCCTTTTTGTGGCATCTTCCGTTTTGGGTGCCTTTTTCAGAATTTCGCACACGAATCGCCCTGAAAAGCACCATATATTGGCCCTTTGTGTGCATAATTGTCGGTTTTGAACAGCGCCCCCATCGACAGATGGTACCAGCCCCCCCCCCTCGCTTTCTGATGTTACATTTCCACATTTCACAACAAATGTGCAAGTGCCCTTTTCACAAATTGTTACCCCCCCCCCAATAAAAATGACCGTGCTACGCCCCTGCCTCAGAATCAAGTGAAAAATAAATTCACTGCTCAGTGGCAATATTTCGAGCATGCGCACAATTTAAATGACACCAATGAATATGGGTGGCCTTAAGCCACCGATCTCTATTATACTGACTGGATAGCGCTTCGGGCAGGGGGTGAAGTCACTAGACGCCATTTTGACACTCCTTTGGCCACGTAAAAATGTATGCAAAGTCATGAAATAAAATTATATATTTGAGCAAATATAAACATGAGTAAAATAACACTGTGGGCAAAACGAATGAATAAAAAAGTGTTCGATGATCCAAAATTGCTTCCTAAACCATTAAAATTCTGTGCGTTGTGGGGCTTTGATTTGGTCTACCCGATGTTTCCCAATACCTATGTTCCCCAATACCGATGTTCCCCGAAATCCTTAGGCTTAGGGTTGGGGGTTCGGGTTAGGGTTGGTAAGGATTTCGGGGAACATCGGTATTGGGGAACATCGGTATGCACTCCTTTGAGGTAGTTTCAAAATGGCCGCCGCGTGTGTGCGAGGGCGTCACGGTCTTGTGTACATGCATTGGTCGAAGCGCTATCCAGTCAGTATGGGCCTTTCTTTTGTTTGTAAACATTGGCGCCATTTCGTATGGGCTGCCGTAAGCGCATAAATTGAAGCCGTGGTTGGCAACTTATTTTTCCCAAAAAAGTCCTCATAACGCCATCAACACATAGTAAAAAGGCATATGTGGGAATTATTTTGTAGCTTTGTTGAAATGTTGTATTTTCAAGTATCAAATAATATTTTGGTGATCGGTAATAACTCTTCTTCATTTTTGCAGTGTTGGACCTCCCATAGTTTTGCAGGCCGTGGTTGCCAAAAATGCAGTTTGCCAACCAAGCGCAGAAAGGTCTATAATAGAGATCAGTGCCTCAAGCCCAGCTTTCCAGTCAGCCCGTGTATAGATTGGTTACGTCTCGATAGTCCGAAGTCCCATTGGTCCGAAGACCCATTGGTCCGAAGTCCCATTGGTCCGAAGTCCCATTGGTCCGAAGTCCCATTGGTCCGAAGTCCCATTGGTCCGAAGTCCCATTGGTCCGAAGTCCCATTGGTCCGAAGTCCCATTGGTCCGAAGTCCCATTGGTCCGAAGTCCCATTGGTCCGAAGTCCCATTGGTCCGAAGTCCCATTGGTCCGAAGTCCCATTGGTCCGAAGTCCCATTGGTCCGAAGTCCCATTGGTCCGAAGTCCCATTGGTCCGAAGTCCCATTGGTCCGAAGTCCCATTGGTCCGAAGTCCCATTGGTCCGAAGTCCCATTGGTCCGAAGTCCCATTGGTCCGAAGTCCCATTGGTCCGAAGTCCCATTGGTCCGAAGTCCCATTGGTCCGAAGTCCCATTGGTCCGAAGTCCCATTGGTCCGAAGTCCCATTGGTCCGAAGTCCCATTGGTCCGAAGTCCCATTGGTCCGAAGTCCCATTGGTCCGAAACATAATACTGTGTAGTTCCACTTGTTCAGGTTGACTGCCACCCTAACCCTATCCCTAACCGTAACATTAACCCTAACCCTAATCCTATTGGGCGTCGGACCAATGGCACTAATTCGGACCAGCGGGACTTCGGACCAATGGGACATCGGACCAATGGGACGTCGGACCAGTGGAACGTTTATAACAATGGAACGTATAGACCAATGTGCCGTCGGACCAATGGGATTCTGACCAATGGGACTTCGGACCAATGGGACTGCGGACCAATGGTACTTCGGACTATAGAGACGTCCCCGTATAGATTGGCATTCGCTCTTTTCACGCTCCGCCATTTGGCATGCAGAGCCTCTATCTGGCAACTTTACACAATAAAAATAGCCGGTTCAGTGATCTGAACCCCGACACAGGAATCACTAAACCGGCAATATATATTGTGTATAGTTGTCAGATCGAGGCTGTGCATGCCCATGGCGGAGCGTGAAAAGAGCGAATTGCAGCCATCGTTGGTTTGGTGCAGATGTCCCACATAAACACGGAGCAGACCTTTGCATGCATTCATTGTTACTGATTGTCAAATGTGGCATGGCTTTATTGAAAAAAGGATACTGACTCCACTTACCATAATAACTTTGATAGTTTATTCAAAGTTTCGTTTCCTGTTGCAATTTTACTGTTGCAATTGTAGATTTTTTTTGCAATTTTGCATAATATTTTTCCCGTTGAGGCATTAGCAATGATATGTTTGCCTTTAGAACTACGCACAACGAAGGATACAATAACGAACCATTGATTGTTGGATGACTGCATGTCCCGTCCAAGGTACAAAATGACATCAGGTTCGAACAAACAAAACGTGCTATGCGGGAGCGCATTCGTGCGAAATCAATCCTTGCCTTTCGTGAGTTACTGTTCGTGACGAAGACCAGTTTCGTTCCCAGCACGTTGCACAACCAGGGTATTCCTGCCCAGGTGCAATCGCCTACATTACGGTGTCATATGAAAATCAGACTCGTATAAAAATCGGACTCTTTTTCCCTTTTATTGGTTAAACCCTCTCACGTGACCGGTCCCTCTCCGAATTATCTATGCTTGAGCATGCGCAATACCGCCAATGTGTCCGTATTTCATAAAACCTGAATTCATGCTACACCGGTAACAAAATAAACATTTCCAGCGTCCCCGCTCGATTTTTTATTTTTTTACCTTGTAAGTCGAGGGGTTTTTCTCACCCACACGACCCCCAAAGCACATCACACACTCAAAGGAGACGCAATTGATCAGAAGGTTTATATGAGTCTGAAATAAGTATTATTTTTTACTGTTATGGCTACCCCAAACGGAAAATAGGAAAGAGTCTGAAACAAAACATATCAGGTACATGTGGCAGCTTCGGAAAACCGGTTGCCCTTTTGGTGAACGAAAAGAATCATCGGTCATATTTCATTCGGCCGCGTAAAACACCACATTTGGTTTGCGAGACCCGGTAGTGTATAGTTTCGGTTCCAGGGAGGGGGGGGGGGCAAATAATTTTTCTGAAAAACGTAACCCCATTTAAGTCTTCCGGTATAAAATGATATAAGCGCGAGCGGGTATTAAAGTATTGCAAGTATAACAGATATGAGGTGCTGTTGCTTTCGTTTCATAAAAAGAGAAAAAGTCGCTGGGTGGGCAAATAGAATAAAAATAGAATAAAATATTTTTTAATGGCTTTGACAGTTTATTGTCTGAAGCCCGCATTCAATTGTTTTAACGTTTACTGTTTAAATCTTGCAGTTTTTGCAACTGATTGATCTGACATGGTTGCCTGCCATTATGCAAAATGTTACATTCCACTTTGGCCGGTCCATATTAGAAAGAATATGTTTGCATATAGAAAACTACTGCAAACGAAAGCTACAAAGTATGGCATTCATTAGTAGACAAATGTCATGACCCGTCAAAGGTACAAGGTAACGTCAAGTCAACAAATAAATATGTCAGAAGGGTGTCAAAGGGCCCTTTCTTCGCAGCAGGTTGCACAATCAGGGTATTTCCCCGATTTGCCCGTCATGTGCAATCGCCTATATATCCCGGTTACAAAACAGACAAAGTCAGCGTCCATGTTTACCCATCCTCGTACCCAGGGGTTATATTATTTTTTTAACCTCCTTTCCCAATGTGACCCCTGGTTGGAAAACCTTCCTGTCATTTGCTTTCTGTCTTATGTTTTCCTGAAATATATTAAAACGTTATGTATTTCTCTCGCAAGACATCGATTATACACACCTTTATATTTTTTTACAATACTGGAAATAGCCCTTGATACTACATGTATATACTTAATTCTTAAGGCTCTTGCCCCCCCCCCCCCGAAAATTTGGTTCTGGATCCGCCATTGATTCCGGTACATGTCCTAATTCAATACAGCAAAAGCAATAAATTGATTGATATCGAGTACTTAGTGTTTCTATTCCCAACGTGTATAAGTATTCTATCGATCGCTGTGAATTATTACGTCTACTCCAACCTTTTTACATTTTGTATGGATTAATGCTACTGCATATTGTCTGGATATTAAGATTGTAATCGTTTAAATTTGACACACACAAAATTGTGCACCCTTTCGGATCTCATGCCGCTAGGAATTGGTTCTGTTTTACCCCAGAAACCACATACTAAAACAAACGCTGATTTAAGTACAGCAAGGCACCAGACTGTACCTAATTAGCATACGTGTGCGAGATTTTTGAATATGTAAATATGATCCAATATCAGGATGAGAGCAGGTAGTGGTGGGAGCGTTCTGCGCAAGACCTTGGGAAGAAAAATGCTGTACGTGCCTGATTTTTTTTTCGGGGTGGGGTTGATTTTTTTCGCTTGCAACAGCTCCCATTGGTTTTGTACACGTTTTCTTTCCAATCGAGGTCGTCCTCCATTTGACTCCCCGCCCTCAATTACTACACGACATGTGTGTCATCGATGTACACCCTAAACATGCACAATATTAGTTTATTAAAGCTGCAGTAATTGTAGGGACATGTGACATAAGAGAGGATACACATGTTGCAGGAACTTGGAACTTATTAAGACGTTTAATTGTTTGGGGCACATTTTTGTACATGCTTGGAAACACGGTCAAAAGGTCAGTTTCAAGAAGTGTTCTACGCAGCGGCCACCATTTTACCATGGTGGAAAGCAAACACCGTTCGTGCTCGCAAATATCCAATACAACTTGAAATGTGCGGAGAGATCGAGGCCTACTTTGAAGTGGCCCATGTTTTCAGAACTAGGCCTACATGTTGAGCACAATAAATTATGTTTCCGCAATATGATACATGTATAATTGCTATTTTGTGTTACAATGATGAAAATGAGATATGTGGCACTGTCGTATCGGTATGCACACGCCAGCTCTATGATGTTTTACATCAGCTAATCGCTGCTGCCAGTTGCAGACACAGTTCAAAGGAAAACTTGAAAATGCTTACCTCATCCATTACATGTAGTAGATATCCAAAATGGCGGCGAAAACTCGTCACGGGAGATGACGTGTTATGAAGGTCTATATGTCTGGAAGCGGAGAATACGAGCTCTCATATATCACCGAGCGTACTAAACAGCATTCAAACTCATGCAGCTTGGCGGAATGTATGAGCCGTTCCCGTTATTTCATCGTCATCTGGCCGGTCCGTATCGTTTGTGAAAAGTTCCTTTTGATGCTTGTGATGTTTGATGAATCGAGTTTCGATTTAAGCCACACAGTCGTCCTGTGACTAAATACAACTGTGAGCCCGCCAAAAATTCTTGGCGGGTTTTATCTGAAAAAAAAAAATACAATTAAGCGGAACAGCGGAAATGTAATTTACACAGGGGTAACCTAGGCTCCGGCTGTTTCAAAATTGAGGGTATTTCGTATTGTAATTGCCCAATATTAACATGCACAACTACAAAAAAAACCTGTCGCATAATTTTCAAATTTTCAATGACAGATTATTCAGAGCGTAATTCAGCTGTATCTTTCAAGGAGGCTTATTTGATTAAAAGTCCCCCATTTTAAAAAATGGTTTATCCTAAACTGGTTCACTATATTGTGGTTCAGGGATTGTTCAAAGACCATTTGGGTTGAAGGGCGCCCTCTCTCTTAGATTTGTTGCGAGTCCCGTCACTAGTCTGGTTGCCTGACCTTACAATTCCCCTACGCTCAAACTTCTAAATTGCACTTTTTTTAAGGCAACCGCCAACAGGCAAAAACAAAATGAACTTGACGGTTATTCGTTAAAGCTCGGCTTCGTTTCTTGTTTGGCTTTATCGTTAAAAACGTTTAATTTTTCCGATCATATTTTTAAAAAAAATTGCTTCATATTTATATCATACAGTTTGATACTTCTGTACAAAACCATTGACTAATCTTGACCTAAAATCTTCAAAGTTGGTCACCCAAATAGCAGGCAAAGCCGAAATGGAGACTACGCCAAGTTTTGGAATATCCCGGTAACCATCGTCAAGTCAAAAGAGTAGGCCTACATGACGCAGCAAAGCTCGCCCCTCGTACAATCTGGGTGCATACTTGATGCCCAAAATCGTCATTGACTTTCACTTTTTCTTAATGAAAGCGATGAATATTTTTTGCACTCATTATTTAAATTTGAAATATTAATAAGCATAGCAGGTATACACAGACATGAGCGCATCCGAGATTGTCAGCCAACATGATAATAGCCCTTAATGCATACTGTGTGGTTCTCTAGGAGAACTTAACTTCCCTTTAAAAAATCCCTGAACCATGATTCAGGGAATTATTAATTTCATCCATAAATATTGCTCTTTTAATTTTGTTTGTAAACTTTGGGCGCATTTTGTATAACGTGATACGTACGTAATTATAACAATTATCACACACGTACTGATTATTAGTTCAATTCACGGACACGAAACAGGCTGAAAATAAGCGACGTACAAATAGTCAGGAGGGGGTGTGGAGGGGCGCATGCCCCCCCCCCCCCCATTAAAGTCGTCGCCCCACCCCCGTTCTCTTCACCCCAACTGGAAATTTGCTTGTCTTTTTACATGGGCGGTTATTTTTGTCATGAGTGCCCTTTCATTACGGCTCTCCCAACACCCTTAATAATGCCGCCATGAAGGGCGCCCAATAGAAAGCTGGTATCCTGAGACATGCTTCGTATCCAGGTTATACGCATGCGCTCAATTATGTTTTCATCAGTGGAGTGGTCTATAATTGACGTTCCCGTAACTGTTTTTGCCATGATACGACTGCTGGAATTGATTGCGTTGAGTCGTTCTTGCGTGACTCCAGCTGTAGCTGTTCGATTTAAATCGGCACTTGGCGATTCGGTCATGGAGTTGGCACATCTCTTGTATGCTTTGGCGGTGACTGTGCTTGGATGTGTCTGTTTTGGGGCAGTTTCTGCAGGTAGGCCGTATCTTTGTGTACTCCAAAGTTAAACAACCCGGGTTAATTGCCCCTTTAAAGGTTGTTAAATAACACGGCAAAACATTGTTGAGCTTGAGAATATTTCATGTCGTCTGACTGGAAAGCCGAGAGGAGGCACAGCAGGCACAACAGACTAAATGATGACAAAATACGTGAACTCTTTGAAAAACTGGACTACTTTGGATAGTGTCCATTCCGTGTCTGTGATTTCACGCGGAAAACATGAATACAACTTTAGATTTCTTATTCAAAACGATGTACATTGTATTCAGTGGAAATCTACCATAATGGTTAAGTTCATTATTAAATTTATTATAATGGATCAAATATAAATTAATATTTGATCCGTGAAATCAGTAGTGTTATACGAGATGCAACGGGGGAGGCCTCCCCCGATCGAATGCTGTTTCTTCGTTTTACCATCTGCTCAAAATTTGAAGAAAACACTCCCAAACAGATTGTTTTTTCATTAAAGTAAAGTCACATGGAGTGCCCCAGAAAATTAACGTCCCTGTAACAAATTTAACCCAACTATGGCACCGATCATAAAGTCAATATGACTTTCAGTTTAAATCTAAACCGCCCTTGGAGAAGCACAAATGTTCAATTCCATGTAAGCTCACCCCTAATAAATACCACACATATTAACCTTTTTCCCCTTCAAATACAGGTTTCTCTGTCCAATTCCACTCCTTGCTCATTCAATCATAAAAACGTAGAGGAAGTTCATATTTTTCAGGGTATTGTTCGCGCGTAAACTGTATGTAGCAAATTACTTATAGTCTCAGTTTGATTTCGTCAACGCCGATGGTGAACATACGTTTCAGCATTAGCATAGGTTCCACCAAATTCGGTATTTCCATTATGCATTAGCACGATATGTACGTTAATACAGAGTCTAAAATGGCACGACTTTTGATTTCCATAAAGGATTGTACAGCTATAATTTTCAAAAAGAAAATACGAACAGGCCTACTGGGAAAAACTGTGAAAATGTGTAACGGAACCTTTGAAAATGTTAAGTGTCAATGAAGTTTTAATGGAAAGATACTCTAAAATGCTCGTCCATCATGACGATGATGGCCACGGGTCTAAACTTCTTAAGAGTTTCAGTGCGTCCGCAGATGACTTAACAAACCAATCCGGAAGCGAAAGTCTCTCTCACATCATAAGGCCAAAAAAAAGTCTCCGGTTTCTGGTATGCGCGCGCGTCGCTGTAGCCATGCGCGTCGGCAAAATGAAAAAGTTTTTTTTTTAATGAAAGATGATGTCTCAAAACCGCCAAACTCACTGGTTTTACTGGAATCCTGCTGCTGCACAATTTTAACGTGTTTTTAGATTGGGTTGTGGTCGAGAATAAGCTTTATGTGGCCTCTCTTGACTCCCATATATTTGCACTAAGTTTAGTCGGGCACCATTTGCAGTCATCAGCCGACATTTGAAGCAAAAAAATCAGGTAAAAAAAAAAAAGCCGCGTCGGCGCACCACTTTTTGGGCAAGCTCCATACCAGAAACCGGAGACTTTTTTTTGGCCTAAGCGGGCCGTCGACAAGGAGGGGGGGGGGGGGCTGGTAAGACCACCACCCCCAACCGGCGAGCAATTCCCCCAGCCATTCGGCAAAAGCCATACATATGTATTTCTGCGGATTTTTTAATGGAAGTGTGTCCCCTAGTTGGTACTTTGCCACCCCGAATACCCGGGGCTGGCGACGGTGCTCACGGGTTTGACTGGAGGTGGAGGTGCTGGCAGCTCTAGCCTTACGAGCAGCACGCTTCTTTTGTGCCTTTTGGATTCTGTGTTTCTCTGCTGAGCAGGCTCCAGTTGTGATTCTACTGTATAGCGCCAGTTGGGCGATCTTGTGCATAGGTTTACCAGGAGGCTGAGATGTTGTGGCGTTTCAAGGACACTTTAAATAAGTCCTGGAAGCGTTTTTTCCCGTCCCCGTACGGAGCGCTTACCTTCATAGAGCTCACCATAGAGCAGTTGCTTCGGCAGGCATTCTTCACCCATGCGGGCGATGTGTCCTGACCATCTGACACGAGCCTTCTGCAGCGATGTGTAGATGCTTGGGATGTTAATTGGCCCTTATGAGGACTTCAGTATAGCGAATTTTGTCCTGTCAACTGATTCTCAGTATCCTAGAGGCAGCTCATATGAAAGTGGTTTAACTGTCTGGCATGTCTGCTGTGCACAATCCACGTTTCACAGGCATACAGAAGAGTTGTAAGCACCACAACACGGTACACTTTCAGCTCGGTGGTTGGGCTGATTCCTCTGCGGTCCCACGCTTTCGCATGTCGTCTATCAAAGGTAGAACTTGCTTTGGCCAGCCTGCTGTTAACCTCGTTATCGATGTTGACTGTTCTTGACAGGGTGCTGCCTAGGTATGTGAAGCTGTCAATTGCATGTAGGTCCCGATCTTTCACAGTGATGTGCGGCGCACGATAAGGCTGTCCAGGGAGAGGCTGGTGCATGACTTCCGTCTTTTTGGTGTTGATGGTGAGATCAAAGTTGTAACATGCCATAGAAAACCTGTCCATGCTTGTCTGAACTGGCAGTAGGGACACAATCATTGGCAGCCTTCTGAGGTTGAACAGTTTACCGTCAGTCCGGTCGGGAAAGCGTCTGTAAGCACTGCAGTGAACATCATGCTAAATAGTGTAGGGGCAAGTACGCGGCCTTGCTTGACGTCGTTTGTGACTGGGAAGGCTTCTGAAAACTTCACGTCATCCAGAACATGAGCCATCATGCCGTCATGAAACTGGCGAACGGCTTGTATGAACCTGTCTGGACATTCAAACTTTTCCATGATTATCTCGGCTGACCGTGTCAAAAGGTTTTCGTCAAGTCGATGAATGTTGTAAAGAGGTCGCAGTGCTGTTCCTAGCATTTTTCCTGGAGTTGTCTTGCAGCAAAAAATCATGTCGACTGTCCCTTGGCCGGCTCAAAAGCCACACTGCCTCTCTGGGAGAAGCAGGTTCTGCTCCAGATGTTAAATCAAACGATTAAGCAAATAGCAATACACGAGCCAGTATTTTGCTATAGCAATTGAAAATAGGGAGATTCCCCTGTGGTTGTCACAAGACTGGCGATTGTCCTTAGGCTTGTAGTTGCGGACTTTGAAAGCATCGTTGAGTTGCTGCCAAGATTCCAGATAACTTGAAAAATGGTCCGTTAGGTTCTGTTGCAGCTGTGTCCCGCCTTCTTTATTCACCTCGGCAGGGATTGCATCCGTCCCTGGGGCTTAAACAGAGGACAACTGGCTGATTGCTTTCTTGACTTCCTGCACAGCTGGTGGAGTGTCATCATGCAACCTCTGTATTTATTTCGACCTGAGGCACGCGTGTTATCTGCTTTGCTACTGAGCCAGGAGTCCTGCATCTGTCGAAGCTTTGCTTGGACTGTTTTGCGCATGTTGGTGAAGGCTGCTTTCTTAGATGTGGATGATGGGTCGTTTTGGTGGGCTCTTTGCAGAGCAGACAGTGTTTTTGAACAAGCAGTGCTTTGATTTCATCGTTATTCTCATCAAACCAGTCCTGGTTCTTGTGTGGTACTGACCAGAGATGCTCGACGGAGGCTGTGAAGAAGACAGTGTCTCTAAAGGTTGCCCAATCCTCTTCCACAGTGGCTTGACCTAACCGTAGGTCGTCCAGCTTGTTGTTCAAATCCCTGGAGAGGTTATCACCAACTGTTCCGCTGTTCAGCATGGAGACATTGAGCCTCTAGCCTTCCTTCCATGAGGGCGTCTCTTAGGCAAGATGCGGAGGTTGATCTTGGACACAATCAGCCTGTGGTCTGTCCAGCAGTCTGCACTACTTGGCCTTGGTAACCCTCACGTCTTGGCTATTCTTCCTGATGATGACACAGTCGATGAGATGCCAGTGTTTTGAGCGAGGATGATGCGGGAGTAACATTTTGTAAACTGATCTGTAGTTCAGTTTTTTTGTGTTTCCTCTTCCCCATATTTTCGCGATGGGAGTCAGTTTGCGTCCCCCGCTGATTCGGTTTTCGCCATCCTTGGAGTCGTCCATCGCTGCAGAGCCTACCCAATTCCTCGCCCGTAAGGGCTTCTCTGTCATATATTAAGATCTTTTCGTAATTGTACACTAGCATAACCTAATCATTGTTAACTTGTTCAACCCTATTGATACTTAAAGTGCTTAACATTCTCATTATCAAATCACATTGTTACTTTGTTTTTTAAAACAGTGTGATCTTGTTTGATTTCTTTGTTGCATCTGAGAAAATTCTGGCTTTTTGAGCAAACAACATTCACGGATATTTTGGAGATTTTCGTATCGTAACAGAACAGATAAAAATGTAATGCGGCATATGTATTTGTGTACTGTGTTGTAGTCGAGTCCATCAAAAGTCCTTAAAGGTCTATCACAAGTCCTCCAGTCCTAATTCGGGCGATTCACAATGTAGTGCACCACCAAGAGTTTGCCACGGAGAGTTATTTTGTCCCCGGTGCATTGTGGGAGATGGTCAACAAATTCGCTGCGCAGGACATTTGAAATTGTTCGTTTTTCCGGTCAGATAGTTTCGTAAGCGTATGATTCGAGTATCTGTTTGCCACTTTCTTTTCTTTTTGTCAATATGGGGGTTTTATAAGGCGGCAGACTGCTATGCACCGCAACAAATCATCTCACGTTGTCTACTGACACTAATTCAAATGGGCCATGTTTTGTCGACTGTAAACTTGAAAATAGGCTCTCCATGAGAAACTCTTCGTGGCGCACTGCATTGTGAATCGCTCCAATTAGTCAAGTCGCAAGCTACAGTGTCGAAAAAAAAACCCGAACCATCATGCCCTCTTTTTCACAGCTTTAAGAAATACATCGCAAAAATCGATACAAATTATTTTGGAGACTATTAATTTGCTTTTCAACAACGAACACATCTTTCCAATCGGTGAATAGTTATTGAGTTGTGTCCAAATCTAAATATTTTAACACCCCCCACCCCCCGGATTTACGCCGGATTGTCTCTGCCCTCTGCTCGGTAGCCTTTTTCACGGATGCAAGTTTCGGGCCATGTTCTTATTGCGGCAGTCAAAATATCAGTTGCCAAGGACAAAACGAAAAAGCGGCGCTTGTTTTGCATTGGTCATAACTCAATAAATATTTACCCGATTACGAAGAGCTTTTTTGTTGTTGAAAAGCTAATGAACTTAAATATGTATAGATATTTGCGATGTATTTTTGAAGCTGTGAAAAACAAAAAGCTTTGAGGACGGTTTTTTGGGACACCATAGACAAATGCACTGTGTGGTGGCAAAACTATTCATTTTATAAGTGGTTATCTCTTGTTACTTGTGATTGTTCTCGTGAAAGGACTTCTGATTTACATCTGTTTGTACCTTACTTCAGATGGACCCTACTTCAGCACTAATGTCTAAAGACTATTTCTTTTCTTCTTTTTCTTTTTTATTTTAGCTGATATAATCAGGCTACGTCTTGCAGACGGGCGTTACCCAAACGAAGGTCGCGTAGAGGTCCTCCCAGCAGGAGAAGACTCATGGGGAACCTACTGCTCCAACGATAACCCGTTCCACGTCGGCCGCGTAGCGTGCCGTCAACTCGGCTTCCCCGCCCTACTCTCTGCAACTGCCACCGGGGAGTTTGGCAAGGCCACCGGTCCCATTTGGTTCCAGCAGATTTCTTGCAGCCAAGGAGCGCAGCCCGTGGTGACTCTAAATGACTGTTCGACATCAGGATGGTTGCCGAGTTACGTGGTGTGCGATCACAGATTCGATGTAGGCCTTACCTGCTTCACAGGTAAAAAAAAAAAAAAAACTTACCAAACTTTTGAGAAAACCCCTTTGAGCTGACACCGTTTGGCATGAATCTGTCATGCAAGTCTATTAAAGGCCATCAGCTTCTGTCCAAAAATTGGGCCACCGGTATTAATGATCGAAAGGTTAATGCTCATAGCGATTTTTGGCAAGGTAGGCCTATGCACATCTAGAGTTGGATGTGTGATAAATTTGCAGTTTCAGCGGTGGCTGTTTTTGGGGTGTTATATCAAAATGGCCGCCAATTATGCTTGCCACTGGATTAATTATATGTGGTAACAGGCATGGTTTGCCGCCATTTTTTAAAGTGAAAGTACTCAAATAGCTGCCACCGCTGCAATGCTATCACATTCCAACTACAGGGGTGAATACCTTGCCAAAAATCACAATGAGCATTATTCCCCTTTATTTGATACCGACCACACCCCAGGTTGATGGCCTATATGTGTTTCAGAGAACCTATGGAAACGCAACGTTACGGATACGCGGATGTCATGCTCTGCCCGACGCCAAGAGAATTCATGTCACACGGTGCATCAGCGAACTTTCTATTATTACTGACTTTACCATGCAAACCTTTCAATTTTATTGGACTGGTACAAAATAACCAGCCTTAGGCCATCAGCTTGGGGGTTTGGTCGGTATCAAATCAGGGCATAAATGATTATAGTGCGCATGCGCAAGGTATACCACCCCTAGAGTGGTAACAAGCATTTTGATGGACATTTTGAAAAAAAGGGTGATAACACCTAAAAAGCTGCCACCGCTGCAATGCTATCACATATTTTCCAACTCTGGAGGTGTATACCTTGCCAAAAATCGCTATGACGACTATTCCCTTCATTTGATACCGGTTGCCAAAATTTTGGACCGAGGCTGATGGCCTACTTGCAATCAATCCATATGACATGTCCATGTTAAGAGAATGAATCATTATGTAATCTTCCGCGCAAGAAAATGCAAAATGGAACTATTGTTAATCTATGAACTATTTTCTCGATAAATAGAATATCGTCTGAGTTACTTTCCTCGTGAATATATTCTAGAGGTTAAAATGGCACATCGAGAGTGAAGGCGTGCACACCCTGATGGGGTCCAGCCCCCCCCCCCCCCCCACCCCCGGAAAAATTTGAAATCTACGATGCTTTCTCCTGCATAGAAATATGCACCACTGTGCATATACACGTAGGCCTATGTGTGCACACGTGTTTTCATAAAGCTAACGTTTTTAAAGACATATGTGCGACTGGAAGCACGACAATCACCCACAAGATTGGTTTTCGAAAGTCAAAATGTTGACCCCTGATGTATAATTGATTTTGTGTGGACGTTGATATTACTCTTTCTAAACAATACCATTTTGTGAAAACGCGGTTTGTAGCCCAATTGACCAATCGCGGTAGAATCGTGTTAGAATTGCGTCAACGCAGCTTGCGAAATATTGTCGAATTACATGATATACAAATGGACGCGAAACGCACAAAATCTGAGACAAACAAAATTTAGTGTACAAAAATTACATTAGGGTTGTCTAAGGGGCGTGGCTAACTCGCAAACGGCGATAGGTCCATTGGGCACTTTCCAGGACGCAGTGTCCTTTAACATAAACGAGTACAGTTTGCAATTCTTGTAAATCCCTTGACCTAAAAAAACGATGTGCATGTGCCATGTTTATGCGGCCGTGTTCCAGTGGATACGTGCACAAACTCGACATCCAACGACGAACATGTTTAATGCACAGACATGTATGACTCGTGACTCAGTCTCGGTTTCGGAATTGATGTTTGATGACTCGAATACAACTGAGTCTGTTAATGCAACCGTGAACTTCCCCTGCGCTGGCATTGCCTGCAGGGCATTCGACCTAGAAAAGTACCAACAATTCCTCCGCTCATCATTAATTTGTCTGTATTTGGACCATAGGCAACCTGCGCTTAGTCGGAGGTCGAAGCGAGACTGAGGGAAGAGTGGAGCTTCATATTGGGGGAGATGAGTGGGTGCTGTTATCGTTCCGAGGGGGGACGAACTTTATGTACTCCGACAGTGTCTGCCAGTACCTTGGGTACCAATTCTCAGTTGGGGTGACACGAGAACCAGCGGTAAACAACAACCAGAAGATATTGTGTTCCTTTTCTCACTGCCCGCTTTATGACGGATCAAGGGGATTCTTTCAATGCCTGGATGAGCTAAGTCTGGATCTCTGCACAGATAAGAACATCACCTTACTCGGAGCAGTCTGCGCGACAGGTGCGACATATTATTATTTTAAAAATGGGTGCATTAATGTTCATCTGTGTTTGTAAAAGAATCTTTTTTTAACTCTCCCGAGGATATGTCTGTAAAATGCTCAAGACAAACAAAACCGGCCACTTGCCCTGCCAAAAAGTAACACTCATCTGTTCTAGACTGTAAATTTTGTTCATCAGTATTATTAATGTCAAAATAACGATTTGGGTACATCATTAACGCACACATCAAATTTTGTCAGACTTTTGCAGCTAACAGGTATACATATGGTTACAGCCCGATAGTCCGAAGGTTCGATAGTCCGAGGGTTCGATAGTCCGAAGGGCCCATTAGTCCGAAAACAGAAGAAGGTTTAGTCCGAAGGTTTTTGACAGTCCGAATAGACGATCGGGTTCGATAGTCCGAATCGACAATAAGGTCCGATTGTCCGAATGGACAATAAGGTTCGTAGTCCGAATCGACAATAAGGTTCGATAGTCCGAATGGACAATAAGGTTCGTAGTCCGAATCGACAATGGAACCTTATTGTCGATTTGGACTATCGGACCTAATTGTCGGTTTGGAATATCGGACCTTATTGCCTATGCTGACTTTCGGACCTTATTTTCAATTCGGAATAATGACCCATCGGACCAGTGAACCTTTTTGTCGTTTCGGACTATTGAGCCTACGAACTAACCTTAGTCTAAATTCGGACTACCGAACCCTCGGGCAAGTAAACCTTTGGAATAATTATAAGCTTCGGAATATTGCTCCGAATGTTTGATTAACGAATCGTGTTTCATTTTTTGACTAACGAACATCCTATTTTGGGAATTTTGTGCTATCGGGCGGATCCCCTCCGTATATATTTTTGTGCAACATTGCAATCCTTTTTCAGAAGCACTGAGGGTATAGCTTATAGAGGGCAACATTACCATTGTTGAAATAATTATATGTGGGCTCAGGGTGTTTTTTTTCTCAATGTAAATGAGAATTGAAATATAATATAAATCATACCTTGAAATTGAGTTTTGAAGTGAAAGGTAGTATATGGCTATTTATTTTCATTTTTCCCTCTGAAGAAACTGATGTACTTCCTTCTGACGCTAGCTTCGAGTATCGTCTAGGCTATACTAGCAACGGATCCCAATACATGGGCATACTAGAAGCCAGATATAATGGTTCCACTTGGGCAACAGTTTGTCTGCAAGTTGTCAACGTATACCGGGCGGGGATTGTTGCTGACCAAGCATGCCGTAGTCTGGGGTATCCCTGGGCTTTCGTCTCAAAGCTGATCCCATACTCAGAGTCCCCTGGCTACGTCAGCACCGGAGAAGAGCTGATTATGAGGGAGCTTTTCTTGGGTTCAGCTCATGGCGAAGCACAGTGGGTACGAGGCCAGAACGCTTGCCAGCGTCATGAATATGAACTCCTTCACGTCGAATGTGAAACAGGTATGAACGAAGCGTACAATGTTAACTTCCTGATAGTCTCAAGTCAAACGATGGTAGAGAGGATAGTGAGTGGAATAGTTTCTCGATTTGAGATGGAACGTGCGTCGAGATGCAGTAAATTCAAAATTTGGTTTCGCCCTTCACCGACGTATTTTCTTTATAAACACTGTATGCTTAGGATTACCCCCGAGTGATTGTGTCTCACTGAGAATAAAATCACTCGGGTTGGACTCGAACCCAGGACCTCCTGCTCACTATCGCTGACGTCTTTAAACCACTCGACCACCGACCTTAACGGGGTCGGCAGGCTGGGTCGAATCATAGAAGTGGGTACCGCAAAGAAACAAAACTTTCAAACAAAATATGCAATATAATCTTGACAAAGTCTTATAATCAAGGAAGGCTGCTTAATCCAATACACGTCTCCACCTGAGTCTGATTGAGACAGGTGCGTGGAAAATGCTATTAGCCAATCGGATTGCTGTCTATGGCTCTGAATCATTCACATGGTCTTTACCTTAAGTGCCCTTAAATACTTCATCAAACAATAAGCACTAGCTGCTGGAAATATACGCTTGAGGTATAAACTATAATGAAATAGGCTGTTGATGGGAATATATTAAATCAAACCGTTTTATCCTCGTATTCCAAACATTTCTGTTTATAAATTTCCTACCAAGAAGATTATGTTACAAGCGCTTTGCTGACGTTTGCTTTGAATTTGTTGTTTTTTTTTTATTATTTTTATTATTATTATGTTTTTCTTTACTTGACTCAGGTGTAACGATGTACGGCCTGACAGTGTTCCCGTGTTCCAAACAGACATGTCTTGGACGCTGTGGAAGTCCCGCTACCAACGAACTGTGTGGATGCGATGCTGTCTGTTCCCAGTGTAACGACTGCTGCTACGATTACAAGGAACGGTGCTCTCTCCATGAAGACCCAGACAATCACACATCACTGTCATTAGGCTCATTCACTTGTAGAATCGTTGATAGGAATCGGGTTGTCGTAGTGGACGGATGTAGCCCAGGTTGGAATGACACTCAAGTGGCTCAGCAGTGTGCCAATAATTCCTACCCAGGTCCGATAAAATACCAAGAGGGGATATTCTTCAATAATTTACTCTGTGCCGCATGTAACGGCTTCAGCTTCGAGAGCTCAGATCTGAGCTCAGATCTGAGCTCAGATCTGCTAAACGACTTTAGTTTTTACCAGATTGAAGAATATGATGCAGGGATTGATGAATGTCCTTTGAATTATGTGAACCTAGAGATAGCTCTTGGATGTCAGTCATACTCTGCAATTATCGCAACATCTGATTGGTTGATGTACAAGAATCCACACTGTGCATACTGCAACGGAGTGAATATCTCTACCTTGGATTACTGTCCGTTGGTGCGTTCGTCCGTTTTCCCAGCCCATTTTGAAGTGCTTTTGGGCAGGGTACCTGAACCGTGGGCTCCCGAAGCATCCACGAGTCTCCAGCTGCAAGACGAAATCAAGTGCCATAACAAGCACTACCTACTGCACGTACTGCCAACGCACAGAGGGAATTCTTCAGTGATGGAGGTTACACAATGTTACCTAAACACACTCGGCTGGCAGAACATTCAGCTGACATGGCCTTTCTATTCTTCATTTATCGATCACCAACAACAAGCATTTGCTGGAGAAATGACAAAGCTGATCACTGAATATGTCACTAATATCACAGATTTCGAGGAAATCTTGGACCTGACGGTTGTGCCTCCATACGAGGAAGGTAGCTCCAGGGAATGGATAGTCAGATGTGGAGTTGAGCAGGTTGATTTTGTGGAGGTATGTGGCACAGCAGAGAACGTGACTATCAATGGAACTGTCACTGAATTGCATTGTGAGCACTCCACTTTTACTGCTCGGGCAGCAGATACCAGGGTGTTCAGCATGGGTGGAGTCCAGGTCATTTATGTCGGTGGCGGAGTGTTTGTTGAAGCGAAGTCAGTTTCTTTCTTTCGTAGCTACAACTATCCAATGGCTGTCTTCAATGGCTCAGCTAAAGACACCAGGGTATCTGTATGCGGACAAACGTTTAAAAACGAGGAGTGCCGCCTACTCCGTGCTGGAGAAACAAAGGCTGTGAGAACAGAAGACGGTGAACCAGGGCTGGAGTACAAAGGGAGAAAGTTTTTGCAAGACCAAGTAACGTACCTGCCCGATGGTTGGATCCTCATCTGCTCAAGTATCTTCTCGGCTCTACAAGAACCATACATTTCATTCTCAGACCCACTTACTGTAGTGAATTTCATTGGTTACTGCTTATCCGTCGTAGCTCTCTTGGTAACCTTCACCAACTACTGTGTGTTCCCAGTTCTGAGGAACGTCCCCGGTAGTGCCATTATGAGTCTGACTGCTGCCCTGTTCTTGGCTCAGCTTCTGACCCTTACCGTATTGGACAAGGCGGAGAACCAAACATTCTGCATCAGTATGGCCGTCTTGATGCACTTCCTATGGTTAGCTACCTTCACTTGGATGAATGTTCTAGCCTTTGACCTCATGAGGACCTTCACTTCCAGACAAGCTGCTCGTCCCAACAAGCGAGTGTTCTTCACTTACTGCCTGTACGGATGGGGCTTACCGCTTCTGGCTGTCACCACGTGCCTCGTTATCCACTTCGTCGACGGTCAGCATGTTGGGTTTCAGTATGGTGGAGAGCAATCCTGCTGGGTGATCGGCAAATACGCGGTGCTTGGTGCGTTTATAGTTCCGATGATATGCAGCCTGACTGCTAACGCAGTCCTGTTTGGTTTGACAGTGCGTAGCGTGCACGCATCGCTTGCAGCAGCGGCGATGGTTCGGCAGGACAAGTCCAAATCACGGGAGACGCTTGGAGAGCTGTGGATTTTTTTCAAGGTAGGTTGAAAAGTTTCCCCTTTTGCAATTCACCGTTCATGTTTTGTAAAGTCCTTTTTAAGGACAGGCAAGCTACAAGGTCATGCACCACGAAGACTTGTTGGTATTAAACTGGGGTCCATGTTTTTCTCTGTGGGTATGGTGGGGTCTTTGTATTGTATGTCAGTCACTGTATGAGGCCTCTGTCGGCCTCTGCCTCTGACACTGATATGTTTTGTGTTGGCAATTGTTTAAAGATGTTATCAAGTTCAATGTATAATGATAGAGGGAAAGGTGTCACTTCATCGCATCCCGCTCTACTCATTGCAAAGTGCAAGCACGAGTGATTCTACTAAAAATGTCTTGTTGATTAGCAAATGCAATATGGTTACTTTTTAATTCATGGACTGCATTACGTTAACGTTTTATGGTGAAAGCAGTACTGTTTAATAGCCTCATTGTTGTAGGAAAAATATCTTTAAAAAAAAGACCCCCTCCCCGGCCTACTCCCCAGCAACCCCCTTCCTCCAAAAAGAAAACCAGGTCTTGTTTGGAGTAAAAATAGAGGGTTCATCGTTGTTCATTCCTTCACACTTTCCCTTTTTTTACAACAGCTCCCATTTTGTACACTTTTTCTAATCGAGGTCTTCCTCCATTTGACTCCTGTTTTCAATTACACAATAGGATGATTGTGTGTCCTCGATTTACGCCATACCAAATATACACAACCTCACGGATGGAATTTATCGGGTACATTGTAATTGCATTGTTCACCCTTTAAACCTCTTGTTAAGACCTTCTAGTGTACCGTTTTACAAAGGCTACTTATGGAGTCAAAATGACATTGTTCCCTGTGCCCTTGTGTTAGTACCCAAGAAGGTATCTCTGGAAAGAGCACACTCAATTTTATATAATGATTTCCTTATGTTCCTGTTACCTAATTCTAACCAAAAATGCCTCTAAACCTGTTTTTTCAGAGCGGGGTAAACCTTGTGTGGACTCGGGCAAGTCCACAGAATTTCACTCTCCCTGCACCTGTGGACCTCTTTTGTCGACAGGTTCACAAAGAGAAGGATAGGTTAGAGCAACTGATATGGGCGTATTTAGCCTCACATTTGGCATAAAATGGAATGGGAGCTAGTGTGGCCTGTTGCCTTCAATGCAAATTGGGCTGATAACCTTGTATGGACAATCATCAACCCGCGTACAATTTTAAGCTTGTCATTAGCAGCCCTAATTTCATTTTAATTGGAAATTTTCTTCACGCTATCGTAGGCATTGCGCGTATGCGTCATCAAACTTGAAATAACACGTAGTGTACCTAAAATGTATACTTAAATTTATCGTATCCTAAAAAAAATGCGTCTGTTTGTTTTTTTACAAAATAATTGGTTGTACTGGAACGGTTAAAGTTCGTGAACTTTGATTGCCTCTAAATCTTTTTTCCAGAGATTGCCTCTTAACCTGTTTTCCAGAGAGGGGGGAACCTTGTGTGGACATGTGCAAGTCCACAAAACATTCACAATTTCTGCACCCTGTGGAACTCTTTTGTCGACAGGTTCACAAAGAATATGCAATGTAAGATCAACTGACTTTGGCATATTTAGCGCGAGATTTTGTTTCTAATGCAACGGGAGCTAGTTTGACCTGTTGCCCTCAATGCATATTGGGGGCTCATTAACCTTGCATGGACAATCATCAACCCGCAAAAAATTGAAATGTGTAATTTGCATTTCATTATAATTGGAAATTTTCTCCACGCTATCCTTGCGACAGATTAAGCCGTGCATATTTATTGGATCAAGGATGGATACAATACCTGTCAAAGAAGCAATCGGAATTCATCAGATTGTTTTACATTCATCAGTCAAATTCCAACTCCCCCCCCCCCCCCCCACCCGGTTTTTATATGTGGCGTATTTTCAGATGTGCAAGCATGTCTATGTGCGTGATTGCGGTTCCCTCAATAGTGAATGAAAACTACAACGACAAGCGTGATTATTTTTAATCCAACATCGTTCCAGATACTTCGTCAGCGCGCCATAAGACGTGTTTTCCCTTTAGCTGAAAACTTCCACATTGAATGCATAGTACATTTTGACAGTGCACTTTATTTTAACTATAATTGTCAAATCAGTCTCACGAAACGATTCTCCACGTATTGATGAGACTGTACACCCAAACTCTTTGCTAGAGACCATCCATTTCGCCTCTTGTGGACAACGCAAGGGTGGATCTAGGAGTGGGGGCAACAGGAGCCATCCCCCCCCCCCCAAAAAAAAAACCACCAAATTTCTTTTTTAAGTGACATCGAAATAAAAGCAGGCACTTCGTACACCACCATCTTTTCCTACAGAAAAAATGTTCAAAGTGGTCAAAAATTGCCTCAGCGGATCGCATCACAGAGCATCTACAGTCCAAAAAAATGTCGGGCCCTTAAGCGGGCCCCGAGCCCCACGCCGTCTTGTTGATTAGCAAATGCAACATGGTTACTTTTTAATTCATGGACTGCATTACGTTAACGTTTTATCATGAAAGCAGTACTGTTTAATAGCCTCATTGTTGTAGGAAAAATATCTTTAAAAACAAGACCCCCTCACCGGCCTACTCCCCAGCAACCCCCTTCCTCCAAAAAGAAAACCAGGTCTTGTTTGGAGTGAAGATAGAGGGTTTACCTTTGTTTCTCATCGATGTTCATTCCTTCACACTTTCCCTTTTTTACAACAGCTCCCATTTCGTACACTTTTTCTAATTGAGGTCTTCCTCTATTTGACTCCTGTTCTCAATTACACAATAGGATGATTGTGTGTCCTCGATTTACGCCATACACAACCTCACGGATGGAACTTATAGGGTACATTGTACTTGCATTGTTCACCCTTTAACCCTCTTGTTAAGACCTTCTAGTGTACCGTTTTACAAAGGCTACTTATGGAGTCAAAATGACATTGTTCCCTGTGCCCTTGTGTTAGTACCCAAGAAGGTATCTCTGGAAAGAGCACACTCAATTTTATATAATGATTTCCTTATGTTCCTGTTACCTAATTCTAACCAAAAATGCCTCTAAACCTGTTTTTTCAGAGCGGGGTAAACCTTGTGTGGACTCGGGCAAGTCCACAGAATTTCACTCTCCCTGCACCTGTGGACCTCTTTTGTCGACAGGTTCACAAAGAGAAGGATAGGTTAGAGCAACTGATATGGGCGTATTTAGCCTCACATTTGGCATAAAATGGAATGGGAGCTAGTGTGGCCTGTTGCCTTCAATGCAAATTGGGCTGATAACCTTGTATGGACAATCATCAACCCGCGTACAATTTTAAGCTTGTCATTAGCAGCCCTAATTTCATTTTAATTGGAAATTTTCTTCACGCTATCGTAGGCATTGCGCGTATGCGTCATCAAACTTGAAATAACATGTAGTGTACCTATAATGTATACTTAAATTTATCATATCCTAAAAAAAGTGCGTCTGTTTGTTTTTTTTACAAACTAATTGGTTGTACTGGAACGGTTAAAGTTCGGGATCCTTAAAGGATCACGAACTTTGATTGCCTCTAAATCTGTTTTCCAGAGATTGCCTCTTAACCTGTTTTCCAGAGAGGGGGGAACCTTGTGTGGACATGTGCAAGTCCACAAAACGTTCACACCTTCTGCACCCTGTGGAACTCTTTTGTCGACAGGTCGACAAAGAATATGCAATGTAAGATCAACTGATTTTGGCATATTTAGCGCGAGATTTTGTTTCTAATGCAACGGGAGCTAGTTTAACGTCACAGTTTTCACGAAGAGCCACATATGTCGATTTTGAAGAAAAAGTGTTTTCGAGATAATCGCAAAAGAAGTTTGTCATATTTTAAAACTGCAAAAAATACCACTTTGCAACAACTTTGTGAAGCAAGGAAACCATCACACTATTCTGTGTGAGCTGAATTTTTACATGAACCCAGTAATAAGACTTAATTCAGCAGTTAATTAGTGGAAATTAATTAGTAAAGATATGTGGCTCTTCGTGAAAACGCAAATTCAGGTTTCCGACATATTGGCCCTTTCTGTTCAATGTGTATTTCAATAGGCGCGCGTGAGTACGCGCGCGCAGCTGAAAATGTAACAAAGATATGTGGCTCTTCGTGAAAACGCAAATCTCATTTGACCTACTTTGACGTATTTTCGTGCAATGGGTTTTGTACGCATTCAAAGGGCCAAAATGTATGTGGCTCTTTGTGAAAACGCAAAATTCATTTATCGAGATTTTGGCCCCTTGCAACATTAATGTAACTTGGACATTAATGATGTTTTGCTTACAAAAACATGTCAAAATGGTTAAGTACATTGTTTTAAAGCAAATTATTGAAAAAAATCAAAATCGAAAAAATGGTAATTTTTGACATATGTGGCTCTTCGTGAAAACGGTGACGGTTTGACCTGTTGCCCTCAATGCATATTGGGGGCTCATTAACCTTGTATGGACAATCATCAACCCGCAAAAAATTGAAATGTGTAATTTGCATTTCATTATAATTGGAAATTTCTCCACGCTATCCTTGCGACAGATTAAGCCGTGCATATTTATTGGATCAAGGATGGATACAATACCTGTCAAACAAGCAATCGGAATTCATCAGATTGTTTTACATTCATCAGTCAAATTCCAACTCCCCCCCCCCCACCCGGTTTTTATATGTGGCGTATTTTCAGATGTGCAAGCATGTCTATGTGCGTGATTGCGGTTCCCTCAATAGTGAATGAAAACTACAACGACAAGCGTGATTATTATTAATCCAACATCGTTCCAGATTCTTCGTCAGCGCGCCATAAGACGTGTTTTCCCTTTAGCTGAAAACTTCCACATTGAATGCATAATACATTTTGACAGTGCACTTTATTTTAACTATAATTGTCAAATCAGTCTCACGAAACGATTCTCCACGTATTGATGAGACTGTACATCCAAACTCTTTGCTCTAGACCATCCGTTTTGCCTCTTATGGATAACGCAAGGGCGGATCCAGGGGGCGAGGGCA